GACGGAGTCTCGCTCTGTCGCCCAGGCTGGAGTGCAGTGGCCAGATCTCAGCTCACTGCAAACTCCGCCTCCCGGGTGTACGCCATTCTCCTGCCTCAGCCTCCCGAGTAGCTGGGACTACAGGCACGCACTGCCTCGCCTGGCTGGTTTTTTGTATTTTTTATTAGAGACGGGGTTTCACCATGTTAGCCAGGATGGTCTCGATCTTCTGACCTTGTGATCCACCGTCTCGGCCTCCCAAAGTGCTGAGATTACAGGCTCGAGCCACCGCGCCCGGCCAACACAGATATATTTTTAAACCACCATAACACATGATCAGTGGTAAGCTCTGGGAAGGTAAATTTGGTGACTCTATTCTCCAGAAGGAGAAAGAAATGGAAAGGGAAGACCACTCTAATTATAACAGCTGAGATATGAGTAGAGCCTAACCTAGGATGGAAATAGAATCCAATAGATTTGTACCAACGAATGGCAATGAGATTATTAGTAAAGATAAGGGATAGGTGGAACATGCATCTGAAGTTTTGACATTAAAGAAATGAGATTTTTATGTTACTAAAATTAAAATGTAATAAAAGATGAAGAACAGAGCTTGAGATGGGAAGCTTGTTGTGTTGTGAGCATGTGAAGTGTGAGGTGCATGATGAGAATGCAAATTAAGGTGTTCAGGTTACAGGTAGGATTGGGGGACTGTCATAATTCAGGAGAAATAGAACAGGATCATGCATCCAAATTGAGGAGGCATCTACACAGAAGTGATGTTATGGAAGTTGATGTTATGGAAGGAAAGGATATTTTTAAGGGAAAGTGGGCTGAAAGAAAAATGAAGTGGACCGCAGAAAACATCTTGCAGAAAGACGGTATTTATGGGTTGGAAGAGAGGTTTCCATGAAAGAAGCAGGGTAATCAAAAACATAATGTTATGTCAGCAAAGGTGGTATTTATCTGAAATTTATCAGTATGGGTGGACCAGTTGTTTACATCTCTTCTGATTTCTGAATGCTCTGTTCTTACTGGTGTTCGTGTTGATATGGCTTTAAAATAATCTTAAGCCTAGAGAAGACATGAGGCAATGAACGAAGATCTAATTATTACACAACCCCAATTTAGGGGAGTTTCAACACTTTGCACTACTTTGTGGCAAACTGGAAAAGAACAAATTACCAGAAAGAAAATAGCACATGCCCAAAATAATACTACAATCCACAATCTGGCCTGAAGAGTCCTCCCATTAGCCTGTGACTCCTGAACTACACTTAGTAACACATTCATCTCTTAGGAATGAACTATTGATTTGTCTTCATCTCCTACTAGGCTAGAAACTAATGACCAATATTGTAAAGAAAGTTTAATATCTCACAGGTAATGCATGTGAATAGTTAATGAATGAGTATTTTAATGAAATATTAACTTATATACTGGCTTTATTGTGTGTTTTTTTTTAAAATGATTCCTTACTCAACTAAAGTGTTTACATCAATGAGTGGCACAATTATAGATTGTACTGGCCTATGGGCATATAGCCTTGGTATAGCAAATATAATAGTTATTTTTGGAGAAAACTGGATTTTGTTTTTTAAAATGTACAACTATATCCTGCCTAAAGAATATAAGAAATGCCAAAATATGACACATTTGGTATGATTGTTTCTCTAAAACTTTTTTCCCCTAAAAGCTGCTTTTTAAAACACTCTTCTATAGCTAAAGTTTTTATTCCAGGTATCCTATAGTGGAGTTGTTAGTGCCTTATATACCTGTGTTAACTTTACATGTAGCAAACACTTTTCTGAGTTTGCCCTGAAAAGTTATAATCATAGAATGATTTCTAGATAGCTCAAAGTATCAGACTACTGGAATTAACACACATGTGTAAGTCTCAGGAAGTGAGTTTTAGTGTCCTTGAAGTCAAAAGGATTGTCCCAAAGCCACCCAGAACAATGGTCAGGAATGTCCCTCTATCGTTGATGTTTTATAGCCCAAATATTTTAAGTTCTATGCTTACTGCAGAGTTCATTTTATTCTGAAATTTATGAGTGTTTCAATTTAACTTGATCTAATCATCAGGTAATACACTGCCTATCATCAGGGAAGCGCAGTAGAGAGCTAAAGACATTGATATTGGTAGACTCAGCATATCGACAGTATTTAAAATTTAAGTGAACTATGAATCTTGATATCTTAGTCTAAAAAAGAAATTGACGAAAGAAAAAATGAGAAATCTGAGATGCTATATTAGAAAAATTAAGATAAAGATAACAAATGATAGTAGTCCTCAAACATTTAAAATTTTCTCATGTAAAAAGGGGGGAAAAGTAAGGAGAGAAATTAGATTTTAGAACTAAGTTTCTTTTATTTACATTCTACTTTTTGATTCTTATGAACAAACTGATTAGCATGATGAAAAATAACTTGGCAATGTTTTATGTGTAAGATGAGTGGAGACCAGAAAAATCATGTCTTTTTATAATCATTCATTTTAATAATATTCTCAGTCCCAATATGTAAGAACTGACTCCCAGTAAAAAATTATCCCAAGTTTGGTTTGATTTTCTCCCCAACAGAAAATCAACACAGCACCCATAATCTAAAAAATCATTCCTCCACAGTTAAGTCAGTTGCCGTTTTCTCTCTCTTTTTTCAACTGGGTAAAATGGCCAAGGGTAGGATCAATTGAACATAATAACATTTAAAGTAAGAGCATACTGATATCCAAACATACGGCTTTTACAAGCAATCAGGATTCTCTGTGATCTGTGGATCAAAAATGGTGAAATTCAGCTGGGTGCAGTGGCTCACGCCTGTGATCCCAGCACTTTGGGAGGCTGAGGCAGGTGGATTGCCTGAGGTCCGGAGTTCAAGACCAGCCTGGCCAACATGGCGAAACCCCATCTCTACTAAAAATATAAAAATTAGCCAGGTGTGGTGGTGAGCACCTGTAATCCCAGCTACTTGAGAGGTTAAGGCAGGAGAATGGCTTGAGCCTGGGAGGCGGAGGTTGCAGTGAGCCGAGATCGCGCCACTGTACTCCAGCCTGGGCGACTGAGCAAGAGTGTGTCTCAAAAAAAAAAAAAAAAAAAAAAGGAAGTCTGCATTTCATTGCGCTTCTCATTGATTTTTCTCCTACTTTTTTCACAACAACAACGTCATCAACAAATCAAAATATAAACCTTTGTACCTCCAAACTAGTTTTAGAATATTTGACATCATTGAACTCAACGAAAATTAATGAAGGCTTCCTTTTTTGGTCTTTCAGAAATGGGACATTTGGAGATGTTTATGAAAAAAGCGTGCATGTTTTCATGTCCTATTGTTATCTTTGTAGAGTAGTGACTTCGACTTTTCTTTGGAATTTTTTAACAGACAATAAAGATTATGATGCATACTTATCATACACCAAAGTGGATCCTGACCAGTGGAATCAAGAGACTGGGGAAGAAGAACGTTTTGCCCTTGAAATCCTACCTGATATGCTTGAAAAGCATTATGGATACAAGTTGTTTATACCAGATAGAGATTTAATCCCAACTGGAAGTAAGTTAATGTTTTCATTTGAGAGTGTGCATATTCATGTGAGTGTCTGTGTAGTCATCACTTTTTCATGGAATTTTAATGTTTGGTTCTTTACTTCAAAATTTGTATCTGTTAGTTTCCCTAGAAAGAAATGTCTGTGTGTGTTCACATGAAATTTAATTTTTGCTAGCTCAGAGAAGATACTCCATTACTGTATAAAGCATCTCATTTTGTGAGCCTTGACATTGAAAGAAACCAAATGAGAGATTTGTACCAGGAAAAAATATTGCTGACGTTAGGAGAAGCAAGTCCCAAACTCTATTCAGTGAACTATTTTCATTTAATTTCTGAAAGAGAATCTACTAGGACTTTCTGGACCAAATTTTCCATTCACTCATTCTGATGCACTCTTTTATCTTTTGTAGCCTACATTGAAGATGTGGCAAGATGTGTAGATCAAAGCAAGCGGCTGATTATTGTCATGACCCCAAATTACGTAGTTAGAAGGGGCTGGAGCATCTTTGAGCTGGAAACCAGACTTCGAAATATGCTTGTGACTGGAGAAATTAAAGTGATTCTAATTGAATGCAGTGAACTGAGAGGAATTATGAACTACCAGGAGGTGGAGGCCCTCAAGCACACCATCAAGCTTCTGACGGTCATTAAATGGCATGGACCAAAATGCAACAAGTTGAACTCTAAGTTCTGGAAACGTTTACAGTACGAAATGCCTTTTAAGAGGATAGAACCCATTACACATGAGCAGGCTTTAGATGTCAGTGAGCAAGGGCCTTTTGGGGAGCTGCAGACTGTCTCGGCCATTTCCATGGCCGCAGCCACCTCCACCGCTCTAGCCACTGCCCATCCAGATCTCCGTTCTACCTTTCACAACACGTACCATTCACAAATGCGTCAGAAACACTACTACCGAAGCTATGAGTATGACGTACCTCCTACCGGCACCCTGCCTCTTACCTCCATAGGCAATCAGCATACCTACTGTAACATCCCTATGACACTCATCAACGGGCAGCGGCCACAGACAAAATCGAGCAGAGAGCAGAATCCAGATGAGGCCCACACAAACAGTGCCATCCTGCCGCTGTTGCCAAGGGAGACCAGTATATCCAGTGTGATTTGGTGACAGAAAAGCAAGGGGCATCCCGTCCCTGGGAGCTTGAGTGGAATCTGCAGTCCAGTGCCTGGAACTAAATCCTCGACTGCTGCTGTTAAAAAAACATGCATTACAATCTCTAGAACACGAGGAAAAACAGGGTCTTGTACATATGTTTTTTGGAATTTCTTTGTAGCATCAGTGTCCTCCTGTTTTACCATGTCTTTTACCATTACATTTTTTGACTTTGTTTTATATGTCGTTGGAATTTGTAAATTTACATTTTTTTTAAAGAAGAGACTGATGTGTAGATAGAAAACCCTTTTTTTGCTTCATTAGTTTAGTTTTAGAATGGGTTTTTATTTTATTTCCTTTTTTAAAGTTTTACTTTGCTTTTAACATTTCCTTGGGGTGCTTGGACAAATCTATCCAATGGGACAAGGAGCACCGGATTCTTTCTCGGGTTCTGCCTAGGATCAACTGGGCCACATCGGCCTTCAGAGAACAATGCAACAAATGCCAGCATTGCCATTTGGGGGAAAAAAAAAAAAAAAAAAAAGATGAGAAGAACACTTGTTCATAAGAGGGCCCCACCAGTCAGAGCCCTGAATCTCTTCCTTGTCCCACCTCATTCCCCACCTCTACCTTTCTAACGGCAGCATGATGTGTAAACTCTGTGGAGGGGTGGGGGCGGGTCTAACTGTCTTAACATTTAAGTCACTGCTCTTCAGAATACACTCTAGACCCAAAGGTGTGCTGATCACTTCACAGTGACCACTACAGAGTGCTAAGAAGAGAAGATCAAGGGCATGAAATTGGGGAAGAGTGTTATTTCCGTTTTTTAAATGAGTTGATGTACCCTTATATATATATACATATATATAAATATAAATATATATAAAAACAACAAAACAAAACAAAAAAAGAAAAAAACAACAAAAAACAACAACAAAAAAAAATTCAAGCCCTATATTTGATCACTTCCTGGAAAGGCATGAATGTGTTTGTGGCTGTTTTTGTTTAATATTCTACTTCCTCTTTTCCCTCTATAATTTCTCTGCAAATGAGATTATGTGCAAATGCCAGGCAAGTTAATTCAAAAGAGTGAATCAACGCAAGTCAAAATGAAATTTACACTGAAGGCTTCCAAACCAAAGGGAAGGACAGGATGTGTCATCAAATGTTTTGTCACCTTGTATTATACAAAATGTTATTTTCTAAAGAGTCAGAGAAAATCTGTGAAACTTATTGTGCGACCCCCTTGTAATTAAATGTTAACTCGCTTGTATTTAATTTTCAACACTACATTAAGAATTAAGTGGTTTCAGTTTGTGGACATAAGCAAAACTTATTAATATCAAGGTGTTTAAGAACTCAGGAGGTCAAGCATATGAATACCAACAGAGATCAGTATTTTCAAAATAAACATTATGTATACAAAATAGTTTTTAAATTAGATCAGAAAGTATTTAAAATAATTAATTTTACTGTATAAAGAATTTGCTTTATTTTAGCTATGTAATTCTATCTTTCAGAAAACAGAAAGCTGATGCTCCCAAGAAATTCATCCCTTACCATTTAGCTTTATGTTTGAAATCAATGACATAAGCAGCTAATTCATATTCATGTGAAGGTTGATGCAAAATCAATCACAAAGGAATCTGCAGAGGGCAGAGTTGTTAAAAGGAACTATTACCTATGTAGCTTTTAGTTTTTAAAAAAATCAATGTGATAAAAACACTGATAATAGAACTTATATATTAATTTAGTGATTCATTGTAGGAACTCTCATCCCAGTCATCATCTGTGGGCCTGTGTAGTGACTATTGTGTGTTTGCTTTATTCCTACCACCATTTAATGAGAAAACAATTCTACACTTTGGTCACAATAGTAAGGTGGCCACACACACACACACACACACACACACACACAAAAGTGTAAACTGCAATGGGGTTCATTGGGGAAGGTGAGATTAATTTGCAAATATATGAGGAAGAAGTATAAGCATTTGGAACAATGAAAAGGTCTCAGTATCTGTGTGACAAGGTAAAGGAGCCTTGGGATGTGCATTGATTATTATTTGCTTAAAGAAATGTTTATTTCCCTGACAACTCGCCTGGGTCCTTCTCTACAATCTTTTCTTTATTCCCGTGCTCTCCCCTTGGATCTGTGTCACATTTTCACAAACCAGAACTGAAGCTGCAAGGACACATACAACTTTAAGGTCAGCTTTGCACATTGGGTTATTTTCAGAATCTGAGAAGGCCATTGTTTACTTTGTACTATGGACAGCTGTCAGGGACTGGTGGCAGTGTACCTCATTGGACTGGATTCCAAACTCCCCCCAGTGCTCAGAAAACTGTAAACATGGCAATGGCCTCATTTATCTCTTTGTTTTTTAATTTTTCTTTTCAGTGCACGATGGAAGTGTGGAATAAATGTAGAGGAAGTAATCAGACCACAGTCATATTTTAGGCATCCATAGGCATTAATTTAGCTGCATTGGGAGTACATTTTTTGTTCTCTTTTTAGTGTAGATTTAAGCACTTTGAATAGCATGATTCAGGGATTGATGGGTAATATTTGATATTCTCACAACTTATGAAACTTCTTTTTCCTCTAATGCTTTGTCATATTTAAAAAATGAAATAAATGCAAAAGAGGCTATCTATGGCTTTAGAAACATTCCTCCCAAGTATTCCTCTATCAGCTCCATGTGAGAACAAATGAAGGAAACTGTCATGTGTTCACGTGCTCTGTGTTTAACAAAAGTTCTGTTAGAACTCACAATAAAAAGAGAAAAAAATCGATGTCCCCTAGTGCTTAGGTTTCATCCTTCGCTTTTTTCAGTGGGGGCTGTGGGGGATGAGAATATTCTAGTTGTAAAAACACAGTTGAAAGTGTGAATATGTTAGCCAAGCTGGGGGAGAGAATGGACTTCCAGACTTGGACATATGTGATGTTTGGTATTGCCTGTTTTTCATAATTTGCCGCTCGAGCTCTGAACGACATGTTGTGGATTCTAAAGATCATCTGGTTCTTTAGTGTAACCTCTACTTGCTGCTTATGAGCATCCTACCCCTTATTCTGGTGCTCAAACTTTTGCTTATTTAATTTGTACTCCATACCTTAGGTCTCCTGTGGGCAGAGAAGACATTTGTATCTCATGTAGACAGCTGATTTAAGTTTAGATCAATTCTATGAAACAAATCTGAGACATAATGAGTTAAGAGACCTGAATCTACTGTATTTCTATAGCTAAACACTCGATTGCTCAAACAGTAAACCACTTTTGATTATTACTTTCTTCATAGTATATGTATTTGGACCCTATCAGCTTAATCTTAAAATATAGAGGCTGGTTTCTTCCATATTTCATTACTATCTAGCATTTTATAACAAGAACAAATATTAACTGAGAGCCAACCCCTAAACTGTAATCTTGTTTATCCTAGAATAGTCATTAACTTTTCAGATATCGTTTATATAAATTAAGATCACCATTTCTAGGAAAACATCGATTCATACATTTGTGAATTATTTTTGGATTCTGGAATGATGCCCTAGTTCTCTTTTTTCTAAGGAGTATTTTTTTTAATCTTGTGATTAATTTCTTTATTTATTAGGTTAAGTTTTGTATCATTAGTCCCAGAAGAAAGCATATTGAAATTCAAAGGATAGCATCAGCATTATACAAATGAAATGACTGACTGGAAGTAAGAGAATACACAGACATAGAAGGGGAAAATCCCTTCCTGTCTCTGATCTGAACTTGCTTGGTCATTAATCTTATTTTTGACATAGCTGATTAATAAAGGTGAAATATTATTAAATAGGTTAGTAATCCCATCTACAGACAGATACACATTCCCTGTTGCTGAGGAACTTTTCTAACAGTTTATACAATTATTACCAAAAGATGGTGATGCAACTAGAATCCCTAAAAGGAGAAGCTTGTCAATGGAAGCAGAGGCTATTCCTTGCTTTATCATGAATCCTTTACACTTTATTGTTCTGAACAAAGAAGGTAACCAATAATCAAAGTTTGATTATCCTTAATAGCAGATCTTAATCTTGGGTTCAAGGGTACCTTGGGTCTATAAAAAGGAATAAAATAACAAAGCCCTTGAAGTTCCAGATAAAATTGTTAATGTGTGCAAAACGGTGTTCGTCTGGGTGTGAGTCTCAAGATATCTATCACCTAAAAAGCTACTGGTGTTTGGATTTAGAAGGTATTCTCAGAAACTGATATTCAGATAAACGCACATATCTTGCAGGCATTGTTTTGTCTACCACTCTCTACCTTCATTCATAAAAACTCGGGAGATAATTGTTGTTCTACTAGAGACATGTCTCCTTCCAAAATGGCCTGACTTTGTGGGAGACCTAGCATACTGTAAACAAAAATTTTGTATGATGACAAATAATTCATGCTCACATAAAAACTAATTGGCTATCATTGTTGTGATAATCTTACTCATGTCTTCACCCATTCTAAAAATAGTTTGGGGTGAATGTGAAATTATGTAATTTGACAATGATGTCTTATTTCAGTAAATTTATTTGGGATTTATGTTTAATTATTTTTCCTACAACATAACTAAGAATTCACCCGTACGGGAAAAGAAGAAATAAACATTTGACATGTTTTTCTAAAAAAAAGAAAATCCCACCAAGTTTTTTAATGCAAAGATTTAGAAGTGGCTATATATTTGATTCTCAGCAATTATGGTTTTGCCAGTTTCATAACTTATGATATGACTTTGGAGGAATATGAAGAATTTTGAGAATAAAGTTAGGTAGTGGTTATTAAGTTTTACCTTTTACTTGTGATTGGTAGCAAGGTGAAAGGTTATTCTCTGTTAAGAAATTGAGATACTGTCACAAGGAGCTGTAAGATCTAACTAAATTTGAATAAAGCAAGAGAAGGACGATATGATGATGATGAGTTAATCCTAATCCTAAACGAATGTGCCTTATCATCATCAAATTTCCATCACATTCATAGAAAATGGATGTCATTTTGGATGTAAAAAAATTGGAGCTCAATTCCAATTCTCTATCAAGTATCATTTCTTCCTTCCAGGCTCAGAACGTAAAACAAGTCTTCGTGTGTGTGTGTGTGTGTGTGTGTGTGTGTGTGTGTATTTCTCCTGCTCATTGGAAAATTTTTCTCTAAATAGCCTCTGGGTCCACTGACAAACTCATGTTTCTGAATTCTTCATTAAAGTAAGTAAAGTACTATTGTTTTTTCTACCATTCACTATCTTCATTGATGCATTCCCCCATGGTCTGTAAGTCTGAAGCGCATTCTCTTTTTAACAAAGGCAATCACTCTTAAAAAATCATTACACTATGTTCTCTCCACTACTAAATGAATAGAATCAGAAAAACTGCACATGAACTTGAGAATATTACATGTAATATTGATGTGTAAATTTTAACCTTCATAATCCAGATAACATTAAGTTTCAAAGGGCATGCTGTGTCATTAAAAAAAGATTTAATGTGAAATGACATTATTACATAGTGCATGAAAATGTGGCAAAGTAATTTGGATCTATCTTTACTAGTCAATGAGAGATTAAATTTGGGGAGATCAGATGTGACTATTTAGGTTAATTCTCAACTGGGATGAAGACATCTTAATGTTAGGATACATGGGTGGTTGTCCATATTCCTTGCAGTATATGCTCCTCTTAACTAGAATCCTTAGTGTATTCTTCCCACCAAAGTAGTGGAGGTATGTATGTTCACATAATCTGCTATTGAACCGCAAAAACTTTTACAGTTTCAGAGTTTGAGGGAACCCAAATAGGAAAATTGATGGAGTCATTTTCCTCTGCTGGTGTTCAAGTCATATTTGAAACTTAGACACTCTCAGATCTGTTCAACAGTCAGTAAAAAGTGCATTTTTATATAGTGTTTC